AGAAATCTCCATACTGCTTTCCAAATTGGCTGCACCAATTTGCAGTCCCACCAGCAATGTACAAGTGTACCCTTTTCCCCACATCCTCGCCAGCACTTGTTGTTGTTTGACTTCATAATGGCTGCCAATCTTACTGGAGTGAGATGGTATCTTAGGGTGGTTTTGATTTGCATTTCTCTGACTGCTAGAGATGGTGAGCATTTTTTCATGTACTTGTTGATTGATTGTATGTCCTCCTCTGAGAAGTGTCTGTTCAGGTCCTTGGCCCATTTGTTGATTGGGTTGTTAGTTATCTTATTGTCTAATTTTTGGAGTTCTTTGTATACTCTGGATATTAGGGCTCTGTCTGAAGTGTGAGGAGTAAAGATTTGTTCCCAGGATGTAGGCTCTCTATTTACCTCTCTTATTGTTTCTTTAGCTGCGAAAAAACTTTTTAGTTTGAGTAAGTCCCATTTGTTGATTCTAGTTGTTAACTTTTGTGCTATGGGTGTCCTATTGAGGAATTTGGAGCCTGACCCCACAGTATGTAGATCGTAGCCAACTTTTTCTTCTATCAGACGGAGTGTCTCTGATTTGATATTAAGCTCCTTGATCCATTTTGAATTAACTTTTGTGCATGGTGAGAGAAAGGGATTCAGTTTCATTTTGTTGCATATGGATTTCCAGTTTTCCCAGCACCATTTGTTGAAGATGCTATCCTTCCTCCATTGCATGCTTTTAGCCCCTTTATCAAATATAAGATAGTTGTAGTTTTGTGGATTGGTTTCTGTGTCCTCTATTCTGTACCATTGGTCCACCCGCCTGTTTTGGTACCAGTACCATGCTGTTTTTGTTACTATTGCTCTGTAGTATAGTTTGAAGTCTGGTATCGCTATACCGCCTGATTCACACTTCCTGCTTAGCATTGTTTTTGCTATTCTGGGTCGTTTATTTTTCCATATGAATTTCATGATTGCTTTCTCTATTTCTACAAGAAATGCCGTTGGGATTTTGATTGGCATTGCATTAAACCTATAGAGAACTTTTGGTAATATCGCCATTTTGATGATGTTAGTTCTGCCTATCCATGAACAGGGTATATTTTTCCATCTTCTAAGATCTTCTTCTATTTCTCTCTTTAGGGTTCTGTAGTTTTCATTGTATAAGTCTTTCACCTCTTTTGTTAGGTTGATTCCCAAGTATTTTATTTTTTTTGAAGATATTGTGAATGGAGTGGTTGTCCTCATTTCCATTTCAGAGGATTTGTCGCTGATATACAGGAATGCCTTTGATTTATGCGTGTTGATTTTATATCCTGCCACTTTGCTGAATTCATTTATTAGCTCTAATAGTTTCTTTGTAGAGCCTTTTGGGTCTGCTAGGTATAGAATCATATCATCTGCAAATAGTGATAATTTAAGTTCTTCTTTTCCTATTTTTATGCCTTTAATTTCTTTCGTCTGTCTAATTGCTCTGGCCAGTGGGAAACTGACTTTTGTATCGACCCACTTTAATATCATTATCATTGTTCAAGAATTTACCCCACACACCACTCCTCCCCTAGGGGACTGCAACAGCCTCCTTAGGGGCATTCCTCCTTTAATGTTACCCCTTTAAAATTCTCCTTCCATCATGATAATTCCACCTTTTAAAAACCTGAACAGATCCTCCCTCAATGTCTATTTCAAACCCATCAGATAACATCCATGCTCCACAGATTAGTTGATAAGCCTCTTTGTGATCTCAACCCACTTTTAGGGTAATGAGTGAGAAGGCACCCACTCTGAAGGCAGTGAAGAAAGAGCCTCCTTTTGCTGATTCAAATGGTTGCTGTCCCCGACACTTTATAAAAAAAAAGTTGGTCAATGGTGAGATACTGAACTGATTCACATAAAGAGTTACTCTAAGATGGACTGATCCTTTGGATCATATTTCTTTTTTTTTTTTTAATTTTTTCTTGTTGGTTGTTCAAAACATTACAAATTTCTTGACATATCATATTCCACACTTTGATTCAAGTGGGTTATGAACTCCCACCTTCACCCCATACACAGATTGCAGAATCACATCAGTTACACATCCATTGATTTACATATTGTCATACTAGTGTCTGCTGTGCTCCGCTGCCTTTCCCATCCTCCACCACCCCCCCTCCCCACCTCTCCCCTCCCCTCCCCTCCTCTCTCTCTACCTCCTCCACTGTATAACCCTGAGGGTCTCCTTCCATTTCCAAGCAATTACCCTTCTCTCTCCCTTTCCCTCCCACCTCTCATCCCTGTTAAATGTTAATCTTCTTCTCATGCTCTTCGTCCCTACTCTGTTCTTAGTTACTCTCCTTATATCAAAGAAGACATTTGGCATTTGTTTTTTAGGGATTGGCTAGCTTCACTTAGCATAATCTTCTCTAATGCCATCCATTTCCCTGCAAACTCTATGATTTTGTCATTTTTTAATGCAGAGTAATACTCCATTGTGTATAAATGCCACATTTTTTTTTATCCATTCGTCTATTGAAGGGCATCTAGGTTGGTTCCACAGTCTTGCTATTGTGAATTGTGCTGCTATGAACATCGATGTAGCAGTGTCCCTGTAGCATGCTCTTTTTAGGTCTTTAGGGAATAGACCGAGAAGGGGAATAGCTGGGTCAAATGGTGGCTCCATTCCCAGCTTTCCAAGAAATCTCCATACTGCTTTCCAAATTGGCTGCACCAATTTGCAGTCCCACCAGCAATGTACAAGTGTACCCTTTTCCCCACATCCTCGCCAGCACTTGTTGTTGTTTGACTTCATAATGGCTGCCAATCTTACTGGAGTGAGATGGTATCTTAGGGTGGTTTTGATTTGCATTTCTATGACTGCTAGAGATGGTGAGCATTTTTTCATGTACTTGTTGATTGATTGTATGTCCTCCTCTGAGAAGTGTCTGTTCAGGTCCTTGGCCCATTTGTTGATTGGGTTGTTTGTTCTCTTATTGTCTAATTTTTTGAGTTCTTTGTATACTCTGGATATTAGGGCTCTATCTGAAGTGTGAGGAGTAAAGATTTGTTCCCAGGATGTAGGCTCCCTATTTACCTCTCTTATTGTTTCTTTTGCTGAGAAAAAACTTTTTAGTTTGAGTAAGTCCCATTTGTTGATTCTAGTTATTAACTTTTGTGCTATGGGTGTCCTATTGAGGAATTTGGACCCCGACCCCACCGACTGTAGATCGTAGCCAACTTTTTCTTCTATCAGACGGCGTGTCTCTGATTTGATATCAAGCTCCTTGATCCATTTTGAATTCACTTTTGTGCATGGCAAGAGAAAGGGATTCAGTTTCATTTTGTTGCATATGGATTTCCAGTTTTCCCAGCACCATTTGTTGAAGATTCTATCCTTCCTCCATTGCATGCTTTTAGCCCCTTTATCAAATATAAGATAGTTGTAGTTTTGTGGATTGGTTTCTGTGTCCTCTATTCTGTACCATTGGTCTACCCACCTGTTTTGGTACCAGTACCATGCTGTTTTTGTTACTATTGCTCTGTAGTATAGTTTGAAGTCTGGTATCGCTATACCGCCTGATTCACACTTCCTGCTTAGCATTGTTTTTGCTATTCTGGGTCGTTTATTTTTCCATATGAATTTCATGATTGCTTTCTCTATTTCTACAAGAAATGCCGTTGGGATTTTGATTGGCATTGCATTAAACCTATAGAGAACTTTTGGTAATATCGCCATTTTGATGATGTTAGTTCTGCCTATCCATGAACAGGGTATATTTTTCCATCTTCTAAGATCTTCTATTTCTCTCTTTAGGGTTCTGTAGTTTTCACTGTATAAGTCTTTCACCTCTTTTGTTAGGTTGATTCCCAAGTATTTTATTTTTTTTGAAGATATTGTGAATGGAGTGGTTGTCCTCATTTCCATTTCAGAGGATTTGTCGCTGATATACAGGAATGCCTTTGATTTATGCGTGTTGATTTTATATCCTGCCACTTTGCTGAATTCATTTATTAGCTCTAATAGTTTCTTTGTAGACCCTTTTGGGTCTGCTAGGTATAGAATCATGTCATCAGCAAATAGTGATAATTTAAGTTCTTCTTTTCCTATTTTTATGCCTTTAATTTCTTTCGTCTGTCTAATTGCTTTGGCCAGTGTTTCGAGAACTATGTTGAACAGAAGTGGTGAGAGAGGGCATCCCTGTCTTGTTCCAGATTTTAGAGGGAATGCCTTCAATTTTTCTCCATTCAGAATGATGCTAGCCTGAGGCTTAGCATAGATTGCTTTTACAATATTGAGGTATGTTCCTGTTATCCCTAGTTTTTCTAGAGTTTTGAACATAAAGGGATGCTGTACTTTGTCGAACGCTTTTTCCACATCTATCGAGATGATCATATGGTTCTTATTTTTAAGTCTATTGATGTGGTGAATAACATTTATTGATTTCCGTATATTGAACCAGCCTTGCATCCCAGGGATGAATCCTACTTGATCATGGTGCACAATTTTTTTGATATGTTTTTGTATCCGATTCGCCAGAATTTTATTGAGGATTTTTGCATCTAGGTTCATTAGAGATATTGGTCTGTAGTTTTCTTTCTTTGAAGTGTCTTTGTCTGGTTTAGGTATCAGGGTGATGTTGGCCTCATAGAATGAATTTGGAAGTTCTCCCTCTTTTTCTATTTCCTGAAGTAGCTTGAAAAGTATTGGTATTAGTTCTTCTTTAAAGGTTTTGTAAAACTCTGCTGTATACCCATCCGGTCCTGGGCTTTTCTTAGTTGGTAGTCTTTTGATGGTTTCTTCTATTTCCTCAATAGATATTGGTCTGTTTAGGTTGTCTATATCCTCCTGACTCAATCTGGGCAGATCATATGACTTAAGAAATTTATCTATGCCTTCACTATCTTCTGATTTATTGGAGTATAAGGATTCAAAATAATTTTTGATTATCTTCTGTATTTCTGAAGTGTCTGTTGTGATATTGCCTTTTTCATCCCGTATGCTAGTAATTTGAGTTCTCTCTCTTCTTCTCTTCGCTAGCATCGCTAAGGGTCTGTTGATTTTGTTTATTTTTTCAAAGAACCAACTTTTAGTTTTGTCAATTTTTTCGATTGTTTATTTTGTTTCGATTTCATTAATTTCAGCTCTGAGTTTAATTATTTCTTGCCTTCTACTTCTTTTGCTGTTGTTTTGCTCTTCTTTTTCAAGGATTTTGAGATGAAGTGTGAGATCATTTATTTGTTGGTTTTTTCTTTTTTTAAGGAATGAACTCCACGCAATGAATTTTCCTCTTAGAACTGCTTTCAATGTGTCCCATAGATTCCGATACGTTGTGTCTGTGTTTTCATTTATCTCTAAGAATTTTTTAATTTCCTCCTTGATGTCTTCTATAACCTATTGATCATTCAGTAACCTATTGTTCATTCTCCAAGTGATGTATGCTTTTTCCTTCCTTCTTTTATCGTTTATTTTCAGTTTCATTCCATTATGATCAGATAAGATGCATGGTATTATCTCTACTCCTTTATATTGTCTAAGAGTTGCCCTGTGACATAATATATGACCTATTTTTGAGAAGGATCCATGTGCTGCTGAGAAAAAAGTGTAACTGCTTGATGTTGGGTGGTATACTCTATATATGTCAATTAGGTCTAGGTTATTAATTGTGTTATTGAGTTCTATAGTTTCCTTATTCAACTTTTGTTTGGAAGATCTGTCCAGTGGCGAGAGAGGTGTGTTGAAGTCTCCCATGATTATGGTATGGTGGTCTATTAGACTCTTGAACTTGAGAAGAGTTTGTTTGACGAACATAGCTGCACCATTGTTTGGGGCATAAATATTTATGATTGTTATGTCTTGTTGGTGTATGGTTCCCTTAAGCAGTATGTAGTGTCCCTCTTTATCCCTTTTGATTAACTTTGGCTTGAAATCTATTTTATTTGATATGAGTATGGACACTCCTGCTTGTTTCCGAAGTCCATATGAGTGATATGATTTTTCCCAACCTTTCACCTTCAGCCTATGTATGTCTTTCCTATCAAATGTGTCTCCTGTAGGCAGCATATTGTTGGGTCTTGTTTTGTGATCCATTCTACTAGCCTGTGTCTCTTAATTGGTGAGTTTAAGCCATTAACATTTAGGGTTATTATTGAGATATGGGTTGTTATTCCAGCCATTTTTGTTTATTTCTGTTACTAAACATGGTTTGTTTTCCTCTTTGATTATTTTCCCCCCCTTTACTGTCCTACCTCCCACTGTTGGTTCTCATTGTTATTTTCCATTTCCTCTTCCTGTATTGTTTTGGCGAGGATGTTTTGAAGAGATGGTTTTCTAGCTGCAAATTCTTTAAACTTTTGTTTATCGTGAAAGATTTTAATTTCATCTTACATCCTGAAGCTTAATTTCCCTGGATACACAATTCTTGCTTGGAACCCATTTTCTTTCAGTGTTTGAAATATGTTATTCCAGGATCTTCTAGCTTTCAGAGTCTGTGTTGAAAGATCAGCTGTTATCCTGATTGGCTTACCCCTAAATGTAATCTGCTTCCTTTCTCTTGTAGCTTTTAAAATTCTCTCCTTATTCTGTATGTTGGGCATCTTCATTATAATGTGTCTAGGTGTGGATCTCTTATGATTTTGCACATTCGGCGTCCTGTAGGCTTCTAGGATTTGGGATTCTGTCTCATTCTTCAAGTCTGGGAAGTTTTCTCGTATTATTTCATTGAATAGACTGCTCATTCCTTTGGTTTGGAGTTCTGTACCTTCCTGTATCCCAATGACTCTTAAGTTTGGTCTCTTAATGTTATCCCATATTTCTTGAATGTTCTGCTCATGGTTTCTTAACAGTCTTGCTGAGCTGTCTATGTTCTTTTCCAGTTGAAATACTTTGTCTTCATTGTCTAATGTTCTATCTTCTAAGTGTTCTACTCTGCTGGTAGTAGTCTCCATTGAGTTTTTAAGTTGGTTTATTGCTTCCTGCATTTCTAGGATTTCTGTTTGTTTGATTTTATAACCTCTATCTCCCTGTAAAGTTGATCCTTTGCTTCCTGGATTTGTTTGCGTAATTCATTGTCGAAGTGATCTTTCATTGTCTGATTTTGCTATCTAATGTCTTCCTTGATACTCCAGATCATCTGAAGCATGTATATCCTGAATTCTTTATCTGACATTTCATCTGCTGCAGCTGTTACCTCTTCTAAAGTTGCGTTGACCTGCATTGTTTGTGGTCCTTTCTTTCCTTGTCTTTTCATACTGCTTGTGTTTCTTTCCTGCAGGCGCGGGCGGCGGCTCTGTTCTGCCCCTACTCCAATTGGGGTGACGAGTGTACCACGCCGGCAGGCCACCGGGCCTGATCCGCCGGTCGGTTTCAGGTTTGCCTACCCTGCAGGCGCGGGCGGCGGCTCTACTCTGCCCCTACTCCAAATGGGGTGACGTGTCTGTCGTACCGGCAGGCCACTGGGCCTGTCCCGCTGGTCGGTCGCAGATCTGCCCACCTTTCGGGCACGGGTGGTGGCTCTGCTCTGCCCCTACTCCAATTGGGGTGTCGTGACTACCACGCCGGCAGGCTCCTGGGCCTGATCCGCCGGTTTGTCGCAGGTCTGCCTACCTTGCAGGCACGGGTGGCGGCTCTGCCCTGCCCCTCCTACCACGCCTGCGGACCGCTGTGCCTGATCTGCAGGTTGGTCACAGGTCTGCTCACCCTGCGGGCACGGGTGGCGGTTTCGCTCTGCCCCCACTCCAATTGGGGTCACGTGACCACCACACCGGCAGGGCCTGATCCGGGCATGGGCGAAGGATCTGCTCTGCCCCTACTCCAGTTGGGGTGACGTGTGTACCACGCTGGCAGGCCCCTGGGCCTGACCCGCCAGTCTGTCACAGGTCTGCTTACCTTGCAAGTGCGGGTGGCGGCTCTGCCCTGCCCTTCCTACCCTGCCCATGTACCACTGGGTCGCGGGTCTGCCCACCTTGCAGGCGCGGGTGGTGGCTCCGCTCTGCCCCCTCTCCAATTGGGGTCATGCGGTCACCACGCCGGCGAGCCGCTGGGCCTGCTCAGGGTGCTGGCAGTGGCCCAGCTCCTCCCCTCTGGCTCGACGACAAATCGAGAGAGACTCAGGTTTCTGTGCCTCACCCCCCCACCAGGAGACCAACTGTTTCTGTCGCCGCTGGTATTGATGAAGTTCTCTCCTCCACTGCTTTCTGATGACATCAGATCTCTGCCATGTTGGTATCCTATGCAAATGGCAGCATTTCGTTCCCCTTGCCGGGCAACCAAAGCAATGGGTGAGTCCTGACCGGCCCTCAGCAGGACCCGGACCGAGAAGCAGTTTCCCTGGGCTCCTAGCCCTGGGCCAGGGCAGTTCCGGGAGCCGGAACTCGGCCGCTCTGTGCTCGGTGTATGCTCTGATAAGAGCAGACTCCAAGAAGCAGCCTCCGCAGGCTCCCCAGCCCTGGGCCAGGGCGGTTCCGGGAGCCGGAACTCGGCCGCCCCGTGCTTGGTGCTCGCTCCGATAAGAGCAGGCACTAAGAAGCACCCAGGCACCGAGCCCGAGCAATCTGTCTGCAAGCCACAGGCAAATGGCAGCCTGAAATTACCTGTTCTATGGCTGAATGAGCTGTGGTCAGTCGAAAACAGGGATGGTGACGTCAGCTTTCCAACATGGTGGCCGCTGGCCTCCTCTGTGGTCTGACTGGTGTGGAGAACCGAGATGGACCGCTTCCTTCCCCCGTCTCGAACCCAGAATTCAGCCCTGAGTACGGTGCTTGCACAGCTGGCAGAAACTGCAGCGCTGTATCCCTGCGTCGCTATCTCCTCGTTTCCCAGCGCGCGCGCTGCAGACTCTAGCCGCAGGGCGATTTGCTGAATAAGCAGTGTTACCCTCCGTGCGACAAACCTCTCGCGTTTGAGTCCCCATAGCCGATCCTCGTGCGATGGAAATCCTTCCTCCAGGTTCCGGAGCACCCCACTATTGCTGGAAATTCCTAACAAGATAGCCTTTAGCCGTCCTGACTTGTCATACTCCCACACAGTGAAGCAGCACACGGGGGCAATGCACTCCCCTCGCCACCATCTTCCTCTCCCTGGATCATATTTCTTAATACTTAAAAATAAATAAACCTTCTGAAATGGATCTAAGAAGATCCATCTGAAGAAATCACTCAATATAAAGACCTTAGAATTTGTTAGAGATCTGTTTCAGTACATTGTGTGGTTTTTGTTGGAAGTTTTTCTGAACTGATTTTAGAATGACTATGGCAAATATAGAAATGGAAACTAAAAGGGGGTATAATCCTGTATTTGAGTTTGGAGCATCCGTGGGACCTGGCCAGGGACCTACCCCAGAACAAATAATGAGAAGCTGGTAGACAATCTCCAATAGCAACACTACATACAAATGAAAGCAACAGGGAAATGAAAGTAAATGAACTCCAGAGGCTTGGAGCAGGTCTCAGAAAGGTAAGTAATTGAAGATGGTGAAACACTGAATCAAGGGTAGGCAAAGATAATAATAGGTCATGTAGGATCTGGAACAATTATTTTGAAAAATTAAAGAAACTAAACTTTTTACCTTTCCCTTATACTTGCAATATTTCTGGGCATGATTTCTCAGTCTTCTTTCCTTCCCAGCCTTCTCTCTCTAACAAAGAGCTCAGAATACACTGAGCTACTTCATGTGTCTTACTGTTATGCTCTTTCCTTTGTATGGAATATTCTAGGAAGTCTTTTCTAAGCCAAGATTGTTGATATGTTAGTCAGTTTACCACCACTATAGCAAATCTACTGAGGCAATTCACTTATAAAGAGAAAAGGTTTGTTTTTGTTCATAGTTTTGGAGGGTCCAGTTCACCTATCACTTTGGGCCTCTAGTAGGGTGGGCACATCATGGAAGGAGCATGTGTCACAGCAAACCACTCACCTATGAGCCAGGCAGCAAAAAGAGAAAGAAAAGACCAAGGTCCCACTATGCCCTTCAGGGTCATACTCACAATGACCTAAGGACTTCCACCAAGCCCCACCTCACAAAAGTTTCACCACCTTTTAATAGTGCCATTCTAGGGACTAAGTCTTTAAAATATGGACCTTTGGAGGACACTCATTCATATATCACACCAATTGGGTTAGGTCCTTTTATCTTATGACTTCACAGTACCCTGAGCATGAGTTTATATGATAAAAGTTAACCAAGAAACATATACTGTATGTATCAATTCCCTCACCAAAGACATTAAAAATTGTATGTACTCTTCTCAGTTGTTTTAGTTATTAATTAAGGTAATATATGTTGAACCACTTAATGCCTGGGGGAAAAAACTATATAAGTAATAGATATCATGTTGTTACTATTAGTATTGAAAATGTCAAGATTTTGACCAGGTACTATGTGTAGTCATATTGAGGTTATAGCAGACATTAAGGAACAAGGGAGGTACAGTTCCTCCTGAAGTGACATTACCTATAATCACCCATTTTTCAGTTTTATGCCTCAATTTCTCTCAGTGGTCTGGAATAAGTGTTAGTCATTTTTATGTTCCTGGAACCTAGAAGAGGACTTATTACAGAGTTTCACATATGAGAGGTATTCAAAATTATTTAAAAATAGTCCCAGGTATCCTCAGCAGAGGAAAATGAGTATTGCATGGAGACATGCAAGAGCACTGCATTTACGGTAACTACCAACCTGTGGCTGCAGGTTAAGTGAGGAGGAATGAAATAAGTGTGATCATGGCATTTGCAAGGAAATGGATGGCATTAGAGCAGATTATGCTACATGAAGTTAGCCAATCCCTAAAAAAACAAATGCCGAATGTCTTCTCTGATATAAGGGTATAAGGGGGATGATTCAAAATGGGATAGGGAGGGAGAGCATGAGAAGATTACCACTAAATAAGGAAGAGAGGTGGGAGGGAAAAGGAGGGAGAAGGGGAATTGCACGAAAGATGGAAGGAGACCCTCATTGTTATACAGAATACATGTAGGATGTTGTGACGAAAAAAAAAAGAAGTGTGTCACATTAGATTGGGTAGAGAGAAGTGATGGGAGGGAAGGAAAGGAAAAGGGGAGATAAGAAGGACAGCAGAATAAAATAGACACTAGTATTGCTGTATGTATATACATGACTGTATGACCAATGTGATTCTGCAACCTGTACACTCAGAAAAATGAGAAATTATACCCCATTTGATTCAAATGTAAAAAAAAAGGCAAGGCTAGATCACAGAGTACCTTATACCATGAGGAAGAGTTTAACTTCATATTAAAGCTAACAGGAAGACACAAAGCATTTTAGATAGGGACTATCATTAGTCACATTTCAGAGAGAATGTTCTAGAAACTAATTGGAAGAAACTGAAATTAGAAAAGGATGCTATTCACAGTAATCTACACAGAATACAGTGAAATTAAAACAGTAGACCTTAGAGATCAAAAGAATATAGCATTTTTAAAAATAATATAGGATTTAAGAAACAAACAGAAATCTAATATGACTCCTGTTTTCTATTTTGGGTGGTAAACATATCAAAATTCACTAAATTATATTATAAAATAAGAAAATTAAAATTCAAGTGACAACATGAAGATCCCCTATTGGGTTTGGGGCCTATAAAGGCATCTATGGAATCAAGGAGTAGAAATCCAAAATCATTTGGCTTTATATATGTAAATAGCAAGAAAAAGAATAAAAAGCATTAATCACTGGAAAAATAGGTAACGCTGCATCAATGAACAGATCTTGTTTCCAGAAAGATAAAAGGGAAAGAATTACTCATGGATATTATATATAATAGATACATATAAATACAAGAATTTGAGGGTTTTTATATAGTTAATTATTCCCTCAAATATTTGAGGCAAGATAATCAAGTCAAAGTAGAGAAGAGGGATGTGGTTTAAGTATTGAGGTAGTTAGTAAAGGTTGAAAAGAAGAGAAAAAGAACCTTATCAAGAACATAAAATACATATCAAGCAATATGTTCTAGCTAAGACTATAGAACACAAATATGTAGAGGTATCAACACAGGGAGAGGAACACAGAAGTTAAATGGTTGGATTGATTCAAAGTTGGAGAATTACAGAGTTAGTGATGCAGAATTACAGAGACAAAGGAATGGAAGGTGTTGCCTGCCTAGGGAGCATTTATTCATGAAAATTATGACATACAGAGAAAAAAAGAGAGGTGAGTTAATATACTTGAGGGAGTAAATGAAAGAATCAGCAGATTGTTTAATTTGTAAATTATATCTAGTCAACTCAAAGATAAGAAGGCACATATTGGGAGTTTAAGATTTCAGGGACTAAAAATTCTATACAAGGAAAAGATCAAATATATAGCTATATGAAGGGGAGTCGAAACTTGCATTTTTAAGCATCTGTAGGCACCATGTTTGGCATACACATGCTGTCTAATTTAATGTGAACTTTTAAACCGAGGATAAGTGGTCATGTGACTTTCTTAGTGCCACACAACTAATAAGTAGCAAAGATGGGATATAAGCTCTATCCTATGAAATTCCAAAACATATACTGACTCTCCACTATTATACTCCAGCTGCACCATGAGAGAAAGTTGCCTAGGAAGAGTAGGGAAAAGATTATTCAAGTTGAGTCAGAACTCAGACTAGATAGTGGATGAGGTGGTCCATATAGACATAGATAACTGAACTTAAATAGAAAAGTTCATTAAACAATTCTGTAAATACTAAAAAACATATAGAAGTGATAATGAGTCTGATAAATCACAGCAACAAAAAGGGACTGGGGTAGGCCACTGTAACATCTTCTGTAAGATGATACCATAATGAGTGAAAAATAATATAAGAATGTACATTATTGTAGCATAAAATCAATTTCCTTAAAAAATAGTTTGGTGAAAACTGGAGTTCTTATGTGGCCATTCTTCCAGAGACACATAAAAAGCAAAGAGATTTAAGTTCTTAGCAACTCTAGAACTGATGGACTATTAGTCACTACTTGTTACAGTGAACACTGAACTTCAGGCACCCATCAAAAAAGTAAAGCATTTGTAACCTACATGCACTCTGTTTTATCCCCAATTTAGTAACTTTCTGGTGTATTCTTGCTTCCCAACTTAGGGGCAAGTCAAATTAAAAGCAACCTTAAACTATGGCCACATCATGATTCTTTAGTCTTCTAACCTCTATCAATTGCTTAGGTCAGGATAGTAGATGGTATAGCCAAAAGTTATGACCTTCAAAGAAAGAGAAATATTTGCACCATAAAGAAGTCACTCTATGGATATATTAGATAAGAGATAAATGAATGAATGTCTGCTACCCACCATTGAGATTCATGATTCTTAGATGGATGAAACATGATCAGATCACTCCAAATAGTGACAAGAGATAGTTATCTCTTAGTTAACGGGAAAAGGTAGAGGAGGTTAAGGAGGTCAGATTTATTTTTGAGGGGATTTGTTCTTTAAGGAGGTCAGATTTGTTTTTGAGGGGATATGGTTCTAGGCAATGAAGGAGAAAGGATTGGGAGATGAAAAATAAAGAAAGAATAAGTCTAAAAAGACAAAGGATAAAAATGACAAAGTAAATAAAATGATAAATTTTCTAGTGAATATGAGTAATCCTGGAGACTTATATGTTGTAAGGTGATTACATAGATGGAAGAGAACAAAACAATAAAGGTATGAATTAATTACAGGTTTGCTCCTATACATCTGATAAAATGCAAATATGGCTTTTTGGCTGAACATAACTCTTAATCCATAATGAGAATAAATCTTTTTGTATCACAACAGACATGATCAGATGTAGTAACATGAATGGACATACATATTTTGGAAAGGAAATATGATTACTTTTGCCTTTGACATTAAAAGCTGTGATTTAAAACTCAAAGATTGGTCACAATCTCAAAACTATCTCAATTTTCCTTATAAAAAATGAAATCTATTAACAACTCATTCTTTGAACCAACTATATGTTTTTCGCTTTACCATATCTTTCCAACTGATAGTCCATAATTAAGTTTCACAGACCACACAAAAAGCAAAGCAGCTTTTCTTTTTTCTTGAATCACACATGCCTTTTTTAAAGTGAAAATAATGGCATGGATTGTTCTAGTATCCATGTACCAAGATTTGGAGAACAAGATCATTTCAATTCTTCCATTCCTTTTTGACCACTTATTTAACCTTCAATTTTATCCCTTTTAGATGTTTGCATCCAAAGATAGAACTCCTGAAGAGTGAAAAACAAGTTCCTGTCACCTTTATTTATTTCTATTTCTAGGAAATAAACAATGGATACATTATAGGTTTAATTTAATCTTATGTAATTTGAATTTTTAGAAATTTGGTTTCTTTTTGGAAATGAAATCAGCAGAAAAAGATAAACAGTAGTGCTGAGAGAGAAAATAAAGGAATGATAACTACATTTTAATTACTAGGAAGAGTTTGAAATATATACAGATGTTGAGAGAAGAAGAGAAATCACTGGATTTTTCATTTTCTGTCTCCCACCAGTTTTGGGCCATATTTTCAGGAAGTATTCCTAGACTAAACAAAACTGAGGAAAAATGCTCTGAGAAAAGTCCTTCAATTGTAAGGAAACATATGCTTCCTCTAGTCATACTAACGGTCCTCAGAAAAAGAAAAACTGTTGGATCCTTAGCCCCAGCTCAAGAAACTCTGGTAAGGTAAGAATTTAGAGAGGAAATCCTAGGAAAAAACAGTAACACCCAAATTGCCTTAAGAATTTGTAAATAAATACTGAAATTACTGGTGTGATGTCTCTCAGTCTCTATAAGGGAAGAAAAGGTAATGAAATTAACCCATCTTTGGGTGAGGCAGCTGGGGGCATATAATAAGGACACATCAAGAAGTACCTGCAAGTTTCAGGAGGCTGAGGCAGAAGGAACTCAAGTTCAAAGTTAGCATCAGCAACTTGTAAGGCCCTAAGCAAATTAGTGAGACCCTGTCTCAAAATTTAGAAAGGGCTAGGGTTGTGGTTCAATGGTTAAGAGTTCCTAAGTTAAATCCCCAATATCATCCTCCTACCCTACAAAAAGTAGAAGTGCCTGAAAGTAATACTTCAGCATGGTAACAGAAGCAGTTCTGCGCTCTTATTTGCTCCACTTCAGTTGTGGCTAAAAATCAAGGGTTGGATGAGAAGCAATAGGAGGACAGATCCAAAAAGTTTAGAAAGTTAGAATACCCAGATCAACAGGGCAACAGCAGCAACTGCAACAGCTTTCTGTAAATGCCATTTGTCAGAGACTGTCTTCCTGGGAGTTATCAAAACAATGTTCAAAAGTAGGTGAAAAAGTCTGTTACAATTAGTTGGATATTTCAAAATAGCTAGTAGAGAGGATTTTGAATGACCCAATACAAAGATAGATGTCTGAGGTGACAGGTCAATTATCCTGATCTGATCATCAGAAATTGTGTACATGTATTGAGACGTCACATCATATCTCATAAATATGTACAATTACTGTGGTAAATTAAAAATAAAAAAAAGTTTTTAAATTTTAAAAAGTCTTTTACTTACTGTGATAAAAGTTTACATATTATTTTTGAGGATAAATTTTTGTTACCTTTCCTGTATTATAAAGCATCAACAATAAAACACCTTGGATTGTTCTTATACAGATCTACATTTAGAAGCCCAATATCATGTTTTCATTTTGTTAATTTCAGTAATCTCACAAACCACATTAATCTTTACTTTTAGGGTCATGATTGTTCATTCAACTAGTTTTAAGTTTCTGTTTCTTACAAAATAGGATTGAAAAATCCCTCCTACAATATGCAAATTGGAAACATGTTTTAATTTTATAATAAATCACAACATAAAACCCATCTGATCCTAGCCATCCCCCAAATCTGCCTCATTCTCACAACCAATTTTGAAGAAATTTGTATTTTTGTTTCTATATAATTTTGTTTCTATATAATGTTCCTTTGTCATTGCTATTGAATACCAAGAACCAACAGCAGTCCTGAAATTGTATAGATTTGCTCAGAGAAAATACAGAGGAATGGATATGCTTAATTAAAATCTTTTTTAAAAAAAATGAAATGGAAAAGAGTATAAACGATATTATCCTATCTCCCACCTTAGCCTTGCCAATTTAGTTATCATATGACTAATAAAAGGAAGGATTTGTATGAGTAATCATGACATGTATCACTAAATTGTAGGTAACAAAATTACATAATTTGCTTTTTGTATTTATGTAAGCAGATATTAAAATGCAATTCCAGAATAAAAGATACTAAGGTTTAAACTTATTCACAAAATTATGTCATTTTTCTGGGTATGTGATATTCCAGGAATTATTTTTGCTTATAAAATTTGTATTGCATGTTATAACAGGAAAAGTTTTCAGAGATTCATGACTGTTTTTATTCCCCCTTCAGATGTACCTCCACAAAGAAACAACAGAATAATATATGTATGCATATGTGTGTGTTTTAAGTGTGTAAAATCTGGAGTGGAAGTGAAACACTTAAAACCCAAAAGAAGTCTTAGAATTAATGAGGATTCAGAAGTAGGAAGCACAGCACTCATATGTCATAAACAAAGAAGCAAGCAATACATTCCTTTAGGCAGGCATCAAAAAACAACATTACTATGTATCAGAAACAAACTTTCTCAAGACAAAAGTAACATCATTTCACATTTATAAGTCCTGGTCTTGGGTGTGTCATAATTTATAGCAAACTAATTGACTCATAGATCCTCATCTTCTGAAATGGAATTGAAACTTTGCCACCTGCACATCTAAATTAAAATAAACTTAAGTATCAGATATTCCTTAATCAGCTTTAACATTTGTTTCTTCTTTCTTCTTTACAAGGAACAATTATGAAGTTCTAACATGGCACCTGCGTGTCTACTAAAAGATTGTTACTTAGACATTACCTTGTCTCTTAGCACTCTGCTTCTAATAAATATTCCTTTCAACCAGAGTTCAAATGACAGCTCTTCTTTACTTAGATTGTTGGCCCATGGATGAGTTGAACCTAAGGCAAACTGAAACATTAGAGCTGGTTCAAAAACAGAAAATATTTAGTTCTCATGTATTCTCTTTTGAGCATGTTAGTCTATTATATTTGTCACTGTGGGATAGCCTATAAATTTTATAAAAATTAAATTTCCTAAGTTATCCATCTGTAGGGATAGAGTGAACAAGGAAATTTCAAGTGATCTTTCTTGGAGAACAGAGATGAACTCTGATATAGTTAGCTGGCATATGTTTTAATATAAATATGAAATTATACTCATAAATTTTTCAGGTATAATAAAAATAGAATATGAAAATAAAGAATATGCATTAATATATTTTAAAATTTGATATTATGAGAATTTACAATATTTTTAATTCAATATAAAAATGGAATGACTATAAAGCAAAAGGTAAATCAATATTTTAGTGGGTTGTTATATAAGAGGGCAGATAATGTTATAATCACGATTTTTATAAAACTCAAAATCATTATGATACAGAATTTAAAAGATCAGAAAAAAATTCAATGCTTTAACTTTTGTCCCAATAGAAAGTTTCCATTAACCAAAAGGGAAATCTCTGAAAAAATTATTAATTTTTCCTGATGAACATTATAAGATTTCTAAGCCCTCATTAGACAGTCGAGGCTTTGATCTGTTTGTAGAGTGCTTTCTTTAATTCTTTGAACATTATTTTCAGAAGCCTCAAAGTGAGAATATATTAGGAATATCTTTCACTAAAGAAATGAATTGTTAGGATTTTTTTATTTCTTATCTTTGAAATTATTCCTTATTCCTGGCCCACTAGACAAAACATTTTATATCTGTTTGTTCTAACTGCTATTGTAAATAGACATGAAAATAAATGGTCTTAAAATTGGTAAACTTGGGCTTGTGGTTGGAGCTCAGTGGTAGAGAGCCTGCCTAGCATGAGTGAGGCACTGGGTTCAATTCTCAGCACCACATAAAAATAAATAAATAAAATGAAAATATAAAAATTTGGTAAACTCATCACTTCTCCATAGAATGGTGTTGATTACAGAATATCAATTATATAAAATTCTTTTTGAGTGTTATAGTTAATGATACATCTAAAAATTTAAATCCATCTGAAAGTTTAAACAAATTTCCAATATGCATAGCTATTTTGTTCTAGGCAGCAGAATGGGAGGCATTAATAATTCAGTTCTAACATGGAAACATCATTTGATTTGTGTTAATAATTATATACAACTGGTTTATAAATTATTGACATATATCACAGATATGTGTGTGTATAAATGTGTGTGTATATGACATATATATGCACACACACACATATACATACATATATATGACTAATATTTAAAATAACTATTGTACTGGGGATATAGCTCAGGGGTACAGTGCTTGCCTAGCATGCATGAGGTCCTAGATTCCATCTCCAGCACCACAAAAAAATAAATATTCTTTAAAGAAATATAAATATTCTTTAAAGAAAATATAAATAAATATTCTTTAAAGAAAAAAGTAATGAATCCAAATCTATTCATATGTATAAGAAGAAATGTCCTATAAACTGTAAGAAAAATAAGTACAATTTAAAACAAGGCCAAGTTACAAAATATGAAAAGCAAGCACATTTATTTTCAATCTTTGATATGACCCATAGCAAAGACTGTGAAATTAATGAAAATGTTATTATAAAAACTCTTTTTGGAACTATAAATCCTAATAACCTAAGGGTGGATTAGGTCCTATCTGGTATTACATGCCATGTGAAGGAGGAGCACTATTCTTTTTTATTCCTTTTCCTGGGAGGGCCTTCAAGAGGCTTCCACAATATGATGTACCATACTGCCTTCTCTGTCCGAGGAAAGATTACCATATTACATTTCATTTTCAGGCCTATTTAATGTTTGAGGCATTGATCATATGCCAATAGAGACATAAAGAGAATGAGAAATGTGCATAGAAGCACAATTAAAACAATCCCATTCTTGAAAACGGAATCAAGAGCTAAGAAAATGGGAAAAGGAGTCCAGTGCTCTCAAGGAGTTTAAGATATATCATCACTTCAGTGTAGAGGCATGTTACTCTACCATGCCAAAGGGATTGTTTGGTGATCAAAGCCAGAAAAAATAAATCCAAGCTATTTGTTTCTGTAGTTAGTTCTGTCATTTAACACACTCTGATCATTCAACTTTGCATATTACTGTAAAAAACAACAACCAATCTCTAAAATGCATACCATGTAATAACACTTAACTAGCCTAAGAGGAATGTTGCTAGTCTTAATTAATGCTTGCAAAAACACTCTGAGATTTTTCTTATAAGCTGGAGCTATGTAATAGCAAAATATCTATTACTATTCTATATATCTCCAACTAAAGTAGGTTTTGGCCTCTTAGTGTTGCCTGCAGCAAAATAAACCTGACGTCATTCTTCTAAGCCCAATTGGCAGCCCAGCTGTGCTATTATCCCTGGGAAGAGTGGTCATGTACAGTAATACCCACATTATGTACCCCCTTGGAATAGAGTTCAGCCTCTGAGAATATAGAACTGAGAAGACATGCTGGGTTGAGCAGACCAGTCGTGGTTAGGGACATTTTTGTCTGATAATGGCTCTAAATTACTGATATCAAGTTGGCGCCTGAGACTCAGGGCAAAAGCAGTTATTTTCTTTCTATGTGAACATTCACCAAAAATATGAATGCAGCTGCCTAAGTCTTGATTTCCTTCTCTATTTTTATAAGATGCATAAGGTCATGGCTATAAATGTAGATAAAATTTATATAAAACACCAAATTAACTGGAAAGCATTTTACACATTTTAAAATACATCTAGTGTTTTTCTTATTTATTGATTTTAAAGGAGTGTAAAACCCAAGCCCCAAGCCAATTGAGAGCTTAATAAACAACTGCACAGTTGTATCTTTTTAGGTATAAAACATACCAAAATGATAAGAGGCTAGTAATTTAGTGTGTTACTTATAGCAACAGTTTGGTACAATTTTTCTATAGACTTGATTTATGAAAACAAACTTATATTCTGCAAAGAGAAGATTAATCTTCTTATCCAAAATTTTCTTTAGTAAATATATATATATTATATAATATATATATTTGGGTTGGGGTAGGATGGAGAGAAAGATTATTGTATAAAATAAAAACTATCTCCATAATCCCTGCTCAAATAGCTGGCTGTTGACATTTTTAGAAAGTAGGACATGATCGAAGTTCATAAAAGTGAAAATTATCTCCTCTCCTCCAAGGTTCTATCTCTTTGTAAACCATCATTTATAGAGAATTTCTGGGTTTTCTTGAAGAAAAGTTTTATGTATATATACTTATGTGAAGATATTTGTGTACACATCTACTGGTCTTTTCCCTGTTTTACTAAGAGTGAAATTGCTGAGTTAGAGTATACATATTTTAGTTTGCTAGATATTCCAAACACATTTAGCAAAATAAAAAAATTATCTTTGACAAAACTAATCTTTATGTAAGTCAATGAAAAACAAAACATTTGTTGAACCAAGTCAAAAATAATTTAATATTCATCTGAGATTCTGTAAAATGGATGAAAGAACAGGGATATTTGTCAAAGAAGTGTATTTCTTGACTTTCAGTCCTTAGATCATTTATACTCTGAGAAACTCTGTCATTACCTTTTAACTAAACCTCTCACCCAAATCAGACATGAAATTTACCCATATTTGGGGACAGTATGGGAAGTCAAAATTCCTGAATTTCTGACTTTTCTTCTTGGTTCCACCCTCATTTTACCCTAGTTCTAAGAAAGGGACTTTTGTTACAGTAACAGCATTTTTGATCTCATGTCTTTGTTCCTGGTGTACCAGTTCTTGTGACAGTGAAATTCTTTTCCCTTAAGAATTTCCAAGAATGTGAGTGCTGATAGTGAATCCCAATACCCAAGGATGGCTCCCTGCCATGTGTTCATGAAACTCTCTGCAAACAGAGAAAAACCCCTTCATCTATTTTCGACATCTAGATCCCCTTGATAGTAACTGCCATGACCTACTGGGACCAGTAGCCTCATTCTCCCCTGGTACTTGGTCACTCCTCTCATGACTGGTCTCTACAATTGTGTTAGCAGTAAAATAAGCTTTGTTATAACAGAAAAGAAAATTTGAGATCTCTACTGTACTATACTATAAAAATTCATTTTTATCTCTTAGAAATTCATTTCCTATTTATGGCTTCAATACTTCAAAGGCACATTCATTCCTTTAGTCCACTGGAATACCATTTGGTTAATTAACACTATGGCAAAATAAGCTGTAGCTCATGGCAGCAATAATAAAAGCACCCCTAAAATTCGACAAACTGCTTCTTGAAAGAAAATTATCATTAGGAAAACTTGGATGATAAAATTAAAAAACAAAGGGCTGGGGCTGTAGCTCAGTGGCAGAGTACTTGCCTAGAATGTGTAAGGCACTACTTGACATGGAGAGTGGCAGCAAACCTGGACTTTTCTTCTGTTGTGATTTCCCTGTGGTGTCCCCAACAGCCCAATATTCTTCCATAATTATCACTGTACCAGTTGATATGTAGGCTTCTAGGAAAGGAAGGAAAAGCAGTATGACCTGACCTACTTGTTTTCTCTCTTTCTTGTTTCTTCCCACAAATCTTCAGGCAGGAAGACTGAGCTTTTCTTTATGTTCCCTTCCCATACACTGGGAATTTTACATGGTAAAGCAAAAGGACAGATGAAGGCCTCCCTTTTCCACCATAGTGTATCTTCCTTTGTCCTAGTGAAGTATCAATAAAACCAAAAAAGTTGTCAGGGGACAGGGGAAGGTACAAAAAGCTTAACAATGACAAACTGAATTAGGATTATTTTTTCATATATATATTGTGACACATATAGAGATGGTGTTTTTTACTATTATCCTAAACTAATACTAACATAAAAATAGTCACCACATGTGGGAAAAGATGTCTAGTCAAAAAATATCTCTAACATTTATTTACAGTTCTTGGTTATTATGCTGCCTTGAAGGATGAGAAAAATGCCACTTCCT